GATATTCGTTGTTTGATATGAGATATCAATTGAAAGTTGTAAGTTGTACTGAATTACCAACACTGCTCGGATTATTTCTTTACTTTTAAAACATTAAAACAAAATAGGCATGATAAATGTGTTAAGAATTTTATTTCAAACAAAGCTGACTATTCTGAGTTAAGGTAGATCTTCATCGAGCAATTTTTTAGGTCACCTGAGTAAACTCAGGTGACCTATTGCTATCCGTTTTCATCCGTCGTCGTGCGTTAACATTTGAACATTTTCAGCTTCTTCTCTGAAACCGCTGAACCAATTTCAACCAATTTTGGCATATAGCATCTATGGTTGAAGGGGAACAAAAATTTTGAATTTCATGGTCCCTGCCCCCCTGGGGCCTGGGGGGGGGGGGGGGTGGGGCTAAAATCAGTGCAATCTTTAAAAATCTTCATCTTTACTCCTGGACATCAATCAGACAAACTGTTTGTATGATTGTAATCAGCATTGAGTCCTCTACCAAAATTGTGAAATTCATGGCCCCGGGGTCATGGGTTCTAGTGCTAGGGCGGGGCTAAATAAGTATATAGTGAAAATGCATTATTTCTTTGAAAATCTTCTTCTCTGCTACTGGGTATTAAATAAACCAACTAAGTACATAGTTATGATGGGCAAGAGTGCCTCTACCAAAATTGTGAATTTTAAGGCCCCAGGGTTATGGGGTTCTGGTGTTAGGGTGGGGCTCTATAGATTATATAGTGAAAATACATGAATTCTTTGAAAATCTTCTTCTCTGCTCCTGGGTATTAAATAAACTAACTAAGTGCATAGTTATGATGAGTAAGTGTGCCTCTACCAAAATTCTGAATTTTATGGCCCCAGGGTCAGGGGTTCTGGTGTTAGGGTGGGTTCTATAGATTATATAGTGAAATTACATGAATTCTTTGAAAATCTTCTTCTCTGCTCCTGGATATTAAATAAACTAACAAAGTACATAGTTATGATGAGCAAGAGTGCCTCTACCAAAATTGTGAATTTTATGGCCCCAGGGTCAGGGGTTCTGGTGTAAGGGGGGGGGGGGGGGGCTCTATAGATTATATAGTGAAAATACATGAATTCTTTGACAAGAGGCCCACGGGCCTTATAGGTCACCTGAGCATTATGCAACAATTTTCCAGCTATTGAATTTGATTCATGTTTTAAGCCAGATGCTATATGACATTCACAATTTTGAAAGAGGCACCATTGATCATCATAACAATACACTTAGCAGTTGCTTAGCTTGGTTACTGAATACCCATATGCAGGGTAGGGGAACAAAAATGCATTCCAACTAACCAGTAGTGCTCCTAACACTGTGACATAAACCCCTGACCCTAGGTCCACACATTGCACAAATTTCAAAAAGGCACCCTTAATATCAAAAAATAAATGTTTTATAAATACAAAAGAGCAGATTTCAAACAAAAAATTCATTTTCAGTATATAAGTAGAGCCCCCACCCCACCCCTGACCCTGGGGCTTTGAAATTCACAATTCTGCAAGATTAGGGCCCTTGCTCATCATAACTATAAAGGTAGTTCATCTGCTTTATACCCAGAGACAAAGAAAAAAAATTTCAAAGATTTAATGTATTTTCATTATATAATCAATTGAGCCCCGCCCCCCTAACACCAGAACCCCTGACCCTGGGGCCATAAAATTCATAATTTTGAAAGAGGCATTCTTGCTCATCATAACTATGTACTTAGTTTATTTAATTCCTAGGAGCAGAGAAGAAGATTTTCAAAGAATTCATGTATTTTCAATATATAATCAATAGAGCCCTGCCCTAACACCAGAAACCCTGACCCTGGGACCATAAAATTCACAATTTTGGTAAAAGCACTCTTGCTCATCATAACTATGCACTTAGTTAGTTTATTTAATACCTAGGAGCAGAGAAGAAGATTTTCAAAGAATTCATGTATTTTTACTATATATAATCTATAGAGCCCTGCCCTAACACCAGAACCCTTGAGCCATAAAATTCACAATTTTGGTTGAGGCACTCTTGCTCATCATAACTATGCACTTAGTTAGTTTATTTAATACCTAGGAGCAGAGTAGAAGATTTTCAAAGAATTCATGTATTTTCACTCTATAATCAATAGAGCCCCCCCCTAACACCAGAACCCTTGACCCTGGGGCCATAAAATTCACAGTTTTGGTAGAGGCACTCATGCTCATCATAACTATGCACTTAGTTAGTATATTTAATACCCAGGGGCAGAGAAGAAGATTTTCAAAGAAATCATGTATTTTCACTATATAATCAATAGAGCCCCGCCCTAATGACAGAACCCCTGACCCTGGGGCCATAAAATTCACAATTTTGGTAGAGGCACTCATGCTCATCATAACTATGCACTTAGTTAGTTTACTTGATACCCAGGGGCAGAGAAGAAGATTTTCAAAGAAATCATGTATTTTCACTATACATAATCAATAGAGCCTTGCCCTAGCACCAGAACCCCTGACCCTGGGGCCATAAAATTCATAATTTTGGTAGAGGCACTCTTGCTCATCATAACTATGTACTTAGTTGGTTTATTTAATACCCAGGAGTAGAGAAAAAGATTTCCAAAGAAATAATGCATTTTCACTATATACTTATTTAGCCCCGCCCTAGCACTAGAACCCCTGACCCTGGGGGAATTTCACAATTTTGGTAAAGGACTCAATGCTGATTACAATCATGCAAACAGTTTGACTGCTTGATGTCCAGGAGTAAAGAAGAAGATTTTTAAAGATTGCATTAATTTTAGTGGTTTTGGCCCCACCCCTCAGGCCCCAGGGGGGCAGAGATCATGAAATTCATAATTTTTGTTCCCCTTCACCCATAGATGCTTTGTGCCAAATTTGGTTGAAATTGGTTCAGTGGTTGCAGAGAAGAAGCTGAAAATGTTCAAATGTTAACACACGACGAACGACGGACGACGACGGACAAAAACGGATAGCAATAGGTCACCTGAGTTTACTCAGGTGACCTAAAAATCTTCTTCTCTGCTCCTGGGTATTAAATAAACTAACTAAGTGCATAGTTATGATGAGCAAGAGTGCCTCTACCAAAATTGTGAATTTTATGGCCCCAGGGTCAGGGGTTCTGGTGTAAGGGGGGGGGGGCTCTATAGATTATATAGTGAAAATACATGAATTCTTTGAAAATCTTCTTCTCTGCTCCTGGGTATTAAATAAACTAACAAAGTGCATAGTTATGATAAGCAAGAGTGCCTCTACCAAAATTGTGAATTTTATGGCCCCAGGGTCAGGGGTTCTGGTGTTAGGGCAGGGCTTTATTGATTATATATTGAAAATACATGAATTCTTTGAAAAAAATTCTTTTCTGCTCCTAGGAATGAAATAAACTAATTACATCGTTATGATGAGCAAGAATACCTCTTGTAAAATTGTGAATTTTATGGCCCTAGGGTCAGGGGTTCTAGTGATAGGGTGGGGCTCTATTGATTATATAGTGAATATACAATAAATCTTTGAAAGTTTTCTTCTCTGCTCCTTGGTATTAAGCAGATGAACTACCTATATAGTTATGATGAGCAAGGGTCCTAATCTTCCAGAATTGTGAATTTCAAGGCCCCAGGGTCAGAGGTACCATAAAGGAGGGGGGGGGGGGGGCTGTACTTATATACTGAAACTGGATGAATTGTTTGAAATCTGCTCCTTGGTATTAATCAAATATTTTTGAAAAGCAAGGGTGCCTTTTCAAAAATTGTGCAATGTGTGGATCTAGACCTAAGGGTCAGGGGTTCATGTGTGATTGGGGCATTACTGATCATGCTGAATATTACTGATTACTTGAAATGCATTTTTTGTTCCCCTACCCTGCCTATGGGTATTAAGTAAACAAACTAAGCAACTGCTAAGTGTATTGTTATGATGATCAATGGTGCCTCTTTCAAAATTGTGAATGCCATAGCATCTGGATTAAAACATGAATCAAATTCAATCACTGGAAAGTTGTTGCATAATGCTCAGGTGACCTATAAGGCCCATGTCTTGTCTTAGTGAAAGCTTCATGATGGCATTGCAGACTGGTACAATATTCTGATGCCTAAATTGTACCATTATACGAGGGTATTATAGGAACAAACCTATCAATAAAGAAGGTTGCTGTATCAAATCAATTACTGGATACTAATAAGTCTAATTTGAAGATTGAGATGAACATAATATACAATATTCAGGTGGCTTCATGTATGCTAATCCAACAACTTGCTTATACATAGCTCTTTATGTGCCGAGTTATGATTTATATGATTGTTTAGTTGATTAGGATTGCAAACACTTTTTACACTATTTTACATATATGCTGACAGAATTGTAAAATGCAAGGTATTTTTACAGATTTTTTAGATTACTTTGTTCCAAATACAGTTGAACTTTCTTATCTTGAACACTAATATTTCTCAAATACTAGTACAGTTATAACGAAGTCACTGGGACCTTTGAAATTAACTTTGCTACAGTATATCCCTAATTTGCTATAATCATATAAGAATTTTGTTAATTTTTTGTAGCTCGGGATCCAAGATAACTTCACTATGTCAGTGAATTGGCAATATCCATGTTCATACTAAACAAGTTTTGCTGTACTATGAATTTTCAGTGATCTGGAAGTCCCCATTCCTAGGTCTCATACTGTAGAATCCTTATTGAACGCAAGTACTTCTAATTGTGAACCACCTCGTACATCTAATTGCAAAAACAAAGATTTACAATTTGACTTGATTTAAAATTTAAAGAAATATGTAAATAGGTATGTTTATGTCAAAAATAGTGTTTTTTATGCAATAATAATTCCTCGTTTATTGAGGAACTTTGGCATTAAACAATTTTTTTAAAGTTGTAAAACAACAACAGTGCAAAACACAATTATATTGTAACATCTATATTTCGGTCTCATTACCAAAATTTTAAATCTGATAGACTCATGGGTTTTTGTTCACTAATAAAACAACTTTAAATCCTTTTTTTTTAAAATTTATTATTCCCTCATATTCTTTGCATATATTCAAAGTAAAATGAAACAAAAGCTGGTGAATACATGTACCTAAACATGTATAATATAATAGGTTGCATTGAATATTACATAATGAAAAGATTAAATAATGTCTAACAGTCTAGGACAATCCTTACATTTAATCAAACATTTAGTTCATTTTTAACTACATGTACATCAATAAATGAAACTTGGCCTCCTAATACATGAAATAATAAGGTACTCAGTATCAATGCCAATCACAGATAAGTCAGCTCAAAAGTATGTGTTTTTGAATATTTAAAATGTCTAAATATTGCAAATACAGCAATGCATCAACTCTGAAGCTGGTGTAGCATGTTAAAAGATGTGAGATCAGTTGGAAATAAACTATATAGCACATCAAGATGGGAATGTACAAGATATATTATGACATTTAAAAATGATGTTGCGTCCTGTAATCGCTACCAAGAGATTAAGATGAGGTTCTCAAGTCTCCCAGGTATTGCTCTAAATGTTTCTATTGCGGATTTTATTATTTATTACAGTTTCTATTGCAGTAGTATTTTATTGTTTATAACGGCCTTTAGTACGAGTGGTTGGCTACAAACAGAGACTCTCCTGAAGCTTTTCCTGATTCTCCTCCTTGGTATTTTCCCATGGCAGCAAGTCCATTGGCCTACATAAAGAAGATTTTAAAATACTTCATGACATGTAATGAACAGCTTTAATTTTTTTTGGAGGGGGGGGGGGGTTAAGGACTATGCAAAAGTTCGCCGATTACATATCCAGGGTTAGAGAAGATTTTCAAATGTATTTCAATCTTAAAATGGATTTTACAATTTTGGTAAAGGGCACAATAATATGCAATCATGCAAACTATTTGCCTGATTGATGTATAGTAGAGAAGAAAATTGTTGAAGACTTCATACCCTAGCTCTGGTCAGAAGTTGCTGCTGTGCAGCCTTCACGTTCTCATCCTTGCCCTGCCAGGCCTTCAGTACCGAGGCCTGTAAAGCTCGCCCGAATGAGAAGGTAAGAGCCCAGGGCTTGGGGCCTTGACAGAGATTTATGGCATTCAGATTGATGGTAGAATCTTCCTCAGACTGGCCTCCTGACAAAAAGGTGATCCCTGGAAAAAGGAAATTGTAAACCACAGGTAAGATAGATAAGAAAAAGTTCTAAAAAAAATGTATGAATTAAGAAGTAATCATATTCTTGTTTACTTAAGATTAGATTATGTTCATTACCAATGTGCTTAAAAAACCAAGAGAGTACAAACCCGGTACAGCTGCAGGTACCCCCCTACTGAGGGCTATGACTGTGGCTCTGCCGTTCTGTTCAGGTGTGTATTTCTTGATACAGGACTGACCCGCAGTGACCATGTTTGGTTTCAGTAACGTTCCCTCCAGAAAGACGTGGTGGTCAGCCAGGGCTTTGTAGGTGAAGGCAAGAACCTGGAAAATAACAGGTAAAGAGTTTCCTATGTTAAATGCCTGTATAACAAGTGTAATTTGTGGATTCCTTTGTAAAGAGTTATATGAAATGTGTGTTTTTACCTGTTCAGTTACTTTTTGTGCTGTTTCTAAATCATGGTCTCCATCACAAAGGACCTCTGGTTCAACTATTGGAACAAGGCCATTCTAGAAAGAAAATTATAAGTGAAAAAGGAGTAATTTATTTTAACATAAAGTGAAACCAGTCTGACATGCACAATAACTTTGTAAATATTCTGTTCTCTTTTTCCATTCCCATTTAACATTTTCAATGTTCTTTACACTATTTTTATCTTATATCCTATCTAATCTGACTGAAAAATATTGTCCCCCAGTGCATGTTGAATCAGACAGGTTTCACTGTACATGTCTTACCAACAAACAGTCTAAGAAAGCATACTCATTTGCAAATAGATTTTCTCATATTGTTTAAAGATTAAAAAAAAAATACAAGATATCTTTTTATTCAAAAGAAAAAGCACATGTATACTATTCACTACAAACCTGTTGACATATGCTGGCATACCGAGCCAGGACATTAGCATTCTCAAACATGGCCTGATAGGTAGGGGTGTGAGAACCGATCTTGAGAACACATCTCCATTTGGCAAATTCTGCTCCATCTTTCTTATACTGTGCACAGCGTTCAGATAAACTATCCAAACCTGGAATAAAAGTCATGGAATCTAAAGCAATGTTCATTAATTACTTTCAAGCTAAGAAAGAGAAAGGGTTTTTTTTTGTTTTTGATTAACTTCTTTTGTAATAATTTAAAACATTTTTTTAGTATAATAATTCATGTAGTATTTTTCTTCTTCTGCAGACTAATATTAGTAAATTATCATTTTAAGAGAATAAGTGTACCTTGTGTTGTACTCTCTCCATCTGTTCCAGCAAGGGGAACAACTCCTTTGTCGACCTTGATGCCAGGAATCATGCCTTTGTCCTTCAGAATCTTGACAAATGGTGTGCCGTCCTTTGCCTTTTGGTAGAATGTCTCGTGGAACAGAATGACGCCGCTGATATTCTGCGCGACCACGGGGTCCGCCGTAAACAACAGTTCCCTGTATCGTCGCCTGTTCTCCTCCGTATTCTCTACCCCAATGGAGGCAAACCTCTTACCCATTGTACCTACAAGATAATTATTACTTCTAGAAAAGTGGTTTTAGATCAGTGCTGCAATACATGTATGATTGAAGTTCCTTGTCCCTAAAGGGGATTTTCAGTATATTGATGCTACTGGAGTGACTCTTGCCTGCCCGAATTTGAAAATCAAAGAAAGGGATTGTTTCCTTTCTTCTTCTATAAGTAACAATAACACATACTGTCCCTTGCAAGTTGAAAATCTCTAAAACACAGTGACAATGCTTACAATATTAAGGGGATTCCTCAATATTACAATCTTTTTACCTTAGATATGAGTTACAATGCATTTATTTATTCCTTTCAATGGTAAATGAATTAACCAGACTTTGTTTCTTACCAGTGGATTCATCAGCTGCCAGTATTCCTTTCCCTGGTGCCACGATGGCATTGGCAATCCTTCGGAGCTCATTCTCTTGATCAACAGTCAGGTATTGTGGAAATGAAGGCATGTTTGAATGTCACGGTACAAAGTCCAGATCTGAAACAATGTAAAAAATAAAAATAGGAAACATCATATTATAATGGTAATACACAAAAATCCATGTATAGAAAGTTTGCTGTATAACTAAATGTGCCACAAACATGTTTAAAAAATGCAGTCTGTCCTATTTGCAGGTAGAGCTCAGCTGGTGACTGAGATAAATGAAGTTCAAGGGAAGACCCTAGCTCAGAATATAGGTCACAATACAGATTTTCAGACAAGCTGATAACAGCTATAGGACAAAGACTGTACGTTTACCAGGGTACTTTTTGGATTACTGTCCCAGTATGTATATTAAGTATGAGTACATTATAAGTTTTATAACTGAAAAATTATACCAATATATACATATATGATTACATGTCCAAGTGATAATGATACATAAATCCACTTGAACAGTCCTCACATATTTGGGATCAATACTGAACATACATGTTGAAGATGCACTTTATCTGCCATAAGTCACCAACCATAAAACGAATACCCCATACAATTATTATTTTTCTTTTTTATTTATTTCATTCTGAATTATAATGAACATGTACATGTAAGTGTCTTTCTGGCAACAAATTAAATGATGTTCAATATATTTTTTCATAGCATACTTATATTCAATCAATAAAGATGACAATGATCCAGTAACAGCCTACTCAGGTGATGGGTCATGACCCCTAACACTGATAAAATGGGTCAATACAGATTCAATGTATGCCTGTGACTGTCAGTGTTTACTAGATTTATATCCTGTATGTAATATGCAAATAAAAAAGAAAATACATGTAATACTGGGCCTTGTTGATCTCATCACTCATTTGATTAGCATATATCCCCTGACATAACTCAGGCATACGTACCCTATGAGCATAAGAAAGACTAAAACCAGATTGGGAGAAACTTTTTCTGGATATTTACTGGTACATATAATGTCAGGTACCTTAATAATATACTGATGTTTAGTATAAACTAGGTTTCTGATACATATTATATCCCATTTAATATTAATGTCCCAGATAGCAAGCTTACGTTGGCCCAATGTTGGGCCACCGTTGTAAGTTACGTTGGTCCAATGTCGGAAAATGATGCTGGGCCAATGTAATTTTGCTCATCGGCGCAACGTTGCGCCGACATGTTGGCGCAACGTTGGCCCAATGTTATAGAACGATAATTCTGACGTTGGTCCAACGTTGGGCCACTGTTGTCAGTTATGTTGGCCCAATATCGGAAAATTTATATTGGGCCAATGTAATTTTGCTCATCGGCGCAACGTTGCACCGACATGTTGGCGCTATGTTGGCCCAATGTCATAGAACGATAATTCTGACGTTGGTCCAACGTTGGGCCACTGTTGTCAGTTATGTTGGCCCAATGTCTGAAAATTTATATTGGGCCTATGTAATTTTTCTCATCGGCGCAACGTTGCACCGACATGTTGGCGCTACGTTGGCCCAATATTAAACAAAATTAACAATTCTGATGTTGGCCCAATGTAGGCCCAACGTATTTGTGCACTTACACGTAGGCGTTACATTGGCCCAATGTCAAACAATGATAATTCTTATGTTGGCCCAATGTTGTCCCACCATATTTGTGCACAAGGATATTTAGAAATCTATGGAATTCCATGGAAACATAAGAAATCCCAGGAATATACAATAAAAACTGAAATAATGATAACATCACAATTTATCATAGATCAAATCTATATTTCAAAATTAAAAAATCGTTTCTTTTACAATGTGTTGAAACACATATTACATATACACTTATAGATGTACAATGTAAGCACATTTTTTCAAAGTATTCTCACTGATCGACATTTCTTTGTAATAAAACAAACTATTTCTTTTTTTTAAAATATGGCATTTGTCATTTGACTTAATGACATTGGGAGAGGTCATTGCAGTTACAATAAATGTACATTTACCGTACAAATTTAATGAATAGACTAGAGTGACAAACACATGAATTAAGTACAAAATATCCACTACACAACTATATTAATAAAAAAGATCCCATAAAATCAACACATGCTATTTTCACACAATATGCCAAAAATCCTAATTAAGTTAGATCCGAAATTTCTCAAGTGTCTGCTTGAATCACTTCCTCACTGATATCCCAGGAAATTCACAATAATAAATAAATAAAAGATGGCGTTATGTTAGAGGGTAGCCAAATAAATGGTCATGTCACGAACGGATTCACTTTAAGTAGGAAGGTTCAGAGAGTTCAATGTTGATCATTTCCATAGACACTTCAAACTTTGCTGGCACAATTTCTGAAAGAAAAGATGACCATTAGGATGTATTATAATCAATATCTATCGCATATATAAACAAAAATATATGACAAATAATAAAGAAAGGCTCTACAAGACTGTAAAGACAATTGGTTATTTCAACCTGACAGTTCAGTATAGTGTAGAATAGAAATTCACTATCTTGCAGTGTTTTTATTTAGGCAAAATTAGGCAAGGGGTCTGGGGGCCGCGTAGTAGGGCCCAGGGGGCGAAGCCCCCGGAAGCTCCCGGATTCTAGAGATTTTATAGGGTAAAAATGAGGTCTACAAAATAGACACATTAACATTTTCTAGACGAAACTGTGATTTACGCTAACTTTGACAATTTGGGGGGCGGGTGCGACTGTGCCCCCCTTAAATCCGCCACTGTTTAGATTACCTGACAGAATCCATTGTTATGTATTTTTAGGATAAGGAAATTAAGAATATAATCCTTTGGTTTACTTTTAATAGTAGATGCAATATTTTTTTTTTTATAGTTTTATGCTAAAAGATACAAGTTAATAAAAACAATGTTAGGTTATTTGTGTTACTTAAATAAAAAAAATTGAGCTGGTTCTCACCATTTTTACAAGCTGACTATTCGCCGGCGCTGTGGGAATCGTCTCGGGCACAGTCCACTGCATGGATGCAACTATTAAATAATCAAAATAAGTGCTAAAAATGATCTTGAACATGCATTTAAAAATTAATATATATTATTACATTGTACAACATACTCTGTAAATGTTGAAGAGAGGAACACTAAAATTCCTGAATCGATCCCAAACGAGGAAATTCGGGTTGAAATCCATCTTTATGAGAGATGTTTAGAAAATTAGAAGTGTTAAATTATTATAACAAAATTGAAACAGCGCTTGCTCAAACGATTTCATTGCCAGGCGTTTTATGTGTAGTGTCCTGACTAAGGAACAGTAGCAAAAACAATATTATTCATTCAAGGACAAATGTTAAAATATTTTATACATTGTACCTACCACAGTACCGGGTCGCAAAATGTCTTCATCTTCTGTCAAAACAGAAATTCCATCCAAAGCTAGTCATGATTCTCCTTTTCGCGACACTCAGAGTCTCTCTTCCGAACTTTCCTTCTGTACAACATCAACATGGCTGCGTGTAACCCACCAAAAATTTAAATTTCGGCGCGGTGTGTTGTTTAAATTAATTGCTTATCGAGCCCGACTTCGAACCCGACGTAATTGTACTTTTAGTCGACAGTTTTAGAGAAAAATCTAAGTTATATTCCATAGTTTTGAAAACCTACGTAAGGGTAAATAATTGAAAATGAAAAAATAAACAAAGAAATAAAAAATAAAATAAATAAATATTTTTTTAAATGTTTCAACATAAGTTTACATAGCAACATTGGTTCAACAATGTCGGCCCAACATTACAAAGATGTCTATACTTCAACATTAAAAATAACAATGTTCAGGGGGGGGGGGGGGGGGGGGGGGGGGGGGGGGGGGGGGGGGGGGGGGGGGGGGGGGGCTGGGCCTATAGTGAAATCAAGGAAAAATAGCAAAAAAATTGGAAGTGAAAGGAAGTTGGCCTTGGAAAAAGTTGGCCACCACCACCCCCATCCTTTTGCTTGTCATCTTTTTCAGGTAAGAAAAAAAATTCTATGCCCCCCCCCCCCCCACTTTTGAGAACGATGCTACGTGCCTGATGTTGGCCCGACGTTGGAACAATGTCAGTGCACCAACTGTTGTAATTACAATGTCGGACCGATGTTGGAACAATGTCAATACACCGACTGTTGTAATTACAATGTCGGACCGATGTTGGCCCAATATCGTTCAGCCAACCGCGATATGTAGCCGATCTACCAACCATATGCCAACATCGGCCCAACGTCAGCTTGCTATCTGGGGTACCTGATAATTTCTCTGAATTGTTTGAAAAAATGGGAGGCAGGAGGTTAATTAACCCCTCCCCAAAATTATTCTTCTTGCAATAGCTTTTTCTTTCAGTCCTCTCATTTTTTACTATAATTATACTCTTCAGTATATATAAAGGTCTGCAAAAATACCCCAAAATACGTCTGATATTAAGTCATTCTTTAAATTTATTGCTGTGTGATGGGTTGAAATCCTCTTCCTCGCTTTTTGCCCCCTTCCCCCTAATTCTAATTCAAACTCCCCTTTCATTCTTCTTACCCATTCTCACACACCATAAATCTTTTCCCCCTCAATTTTTGTACAATTTCAGACACAGAGATGCTTTGCATGGTGAGAGGATGTAGAGATTACAAGTTAATACATGTGTATATGATGATACATGTATAGGCCTATGCTAGTCAATGACTAAATGTACTAATATAAGTGCTGCTGATGATTTGTGAATCACTTCTTCCTGGAGTATAATCTAATTTGATGTACAATGTTTTGAATAAATATTTTTAAAGGGTATTCAATTCATTTTCACCCTGAAATGTTTTCACTATATTCCACATAATTTATGATACTTTGTCTCAGGACCGAGTCAGGGCATTGCATGGTGATGTATACTCTCTGTTGAGATTCTGTGGAGTACAAATAATCTCAACTGGGATTATGTGATGCGTAGTACTGTACTGCGTAGTGCGTATAATATCCCATTATTAATACCAAAGTACGTTAGCGATACATTCTTTAACTCGAGGTCAACGTCCGCTCGCCCAGTAGTAGAAGCAATTTTTAAACAATTGAAAAAAATGTGCTTGCCGATCAAGCTGTCACTTGAGACTAATTTCTGTTACGTAAGATTGCATGCAGATAAACTTCTGTGATTAAATTTAAAAAATATACCATCTTTCGTGATATAGAATACATACTTATTTTTTTAACTTAAAATGAAATATTACCTTTACTAGGTTCCTCCAACTTGCCGCTGAGCCGCTTCGAAGAAAATGGGTTGTTTACCACGCTGTAAGAAATGGGTGTGTGGATTTGGCGCTCTCTGATTGGCTGATTTCGAACTGTCCTTGACATGAAGGGGGAAAAAAGTTGTAAATACTAAACAGACAACAAATTTCTGACGCAATAAATAATTTTAGTACTGCTTGACTGGGGAGGGGGGCTTTAAAAATGTTATGTGCATCGGTGCACAGCTTTGGAGCAATTTTTAGGGGAGAGGGGGCTTTAAAAATGTTATGTGCATCGGTGCTCAGCTTTGGAGCAATTTTTAAAACCAAATATAATATAACAGATAAATTTTGGAACAGTAGGTAAAAGTTTTTGGAGTAGGTAGAACCCAACTTTATCTATTGTCCCCGCTTTTTTTTTTCGAAAGCGATTGGACATTTTAAAATCTCATTATTCTGCAGTCTGTCTGTCTGTTACAATAAAAATAATAGCACGAAATATCTGACTATATAAAAATAATTGAGCCTTAAAATCGGACAAAATTTTGAATTAGGAGATATAGAAGGTTTTCCTATAGATAGTTTTCGATCGACCTAAATTTAGCAAGAGCTGCTTCCCGTTGGCCGCCATACTGGAGGTCCAAATGCTCATATATTCCTTCGTTGTGCATGCAACCAATTTTAAATTTTTATGCGCCCGGATCCAAAGATCCGAGGCGTATATTGTTTTTGTCCTGTCTGTCTGTCTGTCTGTTTGTCTGTTTATCTGTTTGTCTGTTTGTCTGCAAACTTTAACCTTCGCTATAACTTTTGAACCATTAATGATTGAGACTTCATATTTAGTATGCATACTCCACTAAGTAAGCTCTTTCAAATGACACCAAGGTCAATGACCTTGTGACCTTGACTGTGACCTATATGCTAAAAATGTTTTTTTTTCTACAAACTTTAACCTTCCCTATAACTTTTGAACCATAAAAGATAGAGACTTCATATTTAGTATGCATACTCCACTAATTAAGTTCTTTCAAATGACACCAAGGTCAATGACCTTGTGACCTTGACTGTGTCCTATATGCTAAAAATAGCTTTTTTTTATCATTCACCATAACTTATGAACAATGATAGATAGAGACTTCATATTTGGTATGCATACTCCACTAACTAAGCTCTTTCAAATGACACCACGATCGATGACCTTGTGACCTTGACTGTGTCCTATATGCTAAAAATAGCTTTTTTTTAACATTCACCATAACTTTTGAACAATGACAGATAGAGACTTCATATTTGGTATGCATACTCCACTAATTAAGCTCTTTCAAATGACACCAAGATCAATGACCTTGTGACCTTGACTGTGACCTATATGCTAAAAATATGTTTTTAAACTTTGTTGCCGCCGGGCGCATAGTGTTTCACAAACACATCTTGTTATATTTGCGATTTTGAATCAGGAATCATTATTTTTCTGAAGTATATACATTTTTGGAAGCCTTCTTTATTTAAAAAAAAATTTAATAAAGATTTTCCACCAAATATTTCTGCTATATTTTCTTAAACTTGGTAAGATACAGAGGAAAAATCACCGAGTCTATCTCTGAAAATACGTTTCAAAATATGTTTATATAAATATAAGCAAATATGCTAATAATGGAAGACAATTATCGATAAGATTCTTAATTTTATTTGATTTTTGCCCTAGCCATGACATGGCATTTCCAATAAAATTATGTACCGGGTACGATGATTTTGAAATTTCATGACCTTAAAACTTGACCAAACTTTGAAAACATCCTTACTGATAACTTTTGAATGAGCAAACTTTAAGATGGGTATAAATAGCCTGCTTCAAATGAATCATTGATTCTACTATACTATACTTAGCTATAGAAACTAACTGGTACGAAATATTTGGAGTACGGCAGTATATTCCAAATTTGTTTTTGTTTTTGTTTTCAGTTTAGCGTTTCCCCATTCTTTTATCTTTCTCACAACCACAAGGCTAAAAATAATCATGTCTTTGTGGAGGATATGTCATTATTTATGTCATAAATTGTGTCAAATATGAACGCCCTATCATATGTCATTCAAAAGTTATCACCAAAGTTTTTTTTTTAATTAGGTCAATTAAATCAAGGTCAAGGGGTCAGATAGCATAGCATGCTCGAAAATATCTTGTCACAGGTAATGCACATGTCAGATATGAAGTCCATATCTCTTCTCTACGAAAGCCTGTTAGGATCAATCAAGAGAAAAGAAATTTAAAAGGCGTAATAACGCCTTCTGAAAAGGCGTAATAACGCGAAAAAAGGCGTTATTACGCCTTTCCATTCCAAAAGGCGTTATAATGCCTTTTGAAAGGCGTTATAACGCCTTTCTAAAAGGCGTTATTACGCCTTTCCATTCTAGAAGGCGTTATTACGCCTTTCCAAAAGGCGTTATTACGCCTTCCTAAAAGGCGTTATTACGCCTTCCTAAAAGGCTTTATTACGCCTTTCCAAAAGGCGTTATTACGCCTTTCTAAAAGGCGTTATTACGCCTTCCTAAAAGGCGTTATTACGCCTTTCTAAAAGGTGGTATTACGCCTTTCTAAAAAGCCTTTTAGGCAACACTCTACTTCTGAAGAACTAGAATATAGGCAGACTTATCTTGGAGCTTTGCTTGCCATGTACAGTGTATTAAAATTTATGTCATTTGAAGATATTTTTCTCTTTTCTTGGAAAAAAGCAGGCAACTATTTGCATGGGTATAATGAGCAACTGAAATCAATGACCCTTGGTAGAGGTGTGCCTGGTATGAAAGAAGGACTTAGTTGGTTCAACATTGAAAATATATGACGCATTTAAAAATCTTTTTTCCTGGAAATCTATGTGCTATCTGTTTAAATTATTTTTTGAGAAATTAGTCCTATATCTAATTGTGAAATTCATGCCCCAAAGGTACGATTTCTGCATACACCCCCCCCCCCTCGGTTGGGCTAAATACATGTATGTTTAGTTATGTATTGGGGGTAAAAGGCGTAATAACGCCTTTTAGAAAGGCGTAATAACGCCTTTTGGAAAGGCGTAATAACGCCTTTTAGAAAGGCGTAATTCGCTTTTTGGAAAAGCGTAATAATGCCTTTTAAAAAGGCGTAATAACGCCTTTTAGAAAGGCGTAATAACGCCTTTTGGAAAGGCGTAATAACGTCTTTTGGAAAGGCGTAATAACGCCTTTTAGAAAGGCGTAATAATGCCTTTTGGAAAGGCGTAATAATGCATTTTAAAAAGGCGTTATAAAGCCTTTTAGAAAGGCGTAATAACGCCTTTTAGAAAGGCGTAATAACGCCTTTTGGAAAGGCATAATAACGCCTTTTGGAAAGGCGTAATAACGCCTTCTAGAATAGAAAATCGCCTTTTAGAAAGGCGTTATAACGCCTTTTAAAAACGCGTAATAACGCCTTTTGGAATGGAAAGGCGTAATAACGCCTTTTCGAAAGGCTTTATAACGCCTTTTAAATTTTTTTCTCTCTAGATTGATCCTAATAGGCTTTCGTACTTCTCCATCAAAAGTTATAAGGTAAAAATAACATTTTTGAAAAGTAGGTGAAATATAAAGGTCAAGGTAACAGGGCAAAAAATCATAGGGTATATGGAAAGATCTTGTCACAGGCAAAACACAGTTTTAATATGAAAGCCCTTTGTCTTCTCATTCCAAAGTCATTACCAAGTCAGAGGTCAAACTTTAAGGTTACGAGGTTAAAATCTGGGTGTTTTAGACAGGTCTTATCTTAATAAACGTGTAATATGAAAGCCCTATCTCTTCTCATTCAAAAGATATGACCAAGGTTAAATTTTTAGTTACGGACGGACAGACTGACAGAACTACAGACTGACAGCCGGACAGACGAATGAGATTTAATGTCCCCTCGCTTTCGCGACACAAAATACTTCACATACATTATAAGAGAGATGTGTATAGTGGCGTATTTTATTTTGGAACGAAAGAAAAGAAAACAGAGACAATAATCGAGAAATCTTATCTGTCTGTTTTTTTCAGGAGGGGGGGGGTGTCAAAGCCCAGGAGTATGGACCGTACACCGGAACCGGAACAAGACTAGTGGAACAAGATGTGTTTGTGCAACACTGATGGTGGGAGGGGTGGTCACCCCCTGTATGGCAACATATAGTGAAGGGTTACACTTTCTCAAATCAAATATATTGGTATCCAAAGTAAGGCCTTCTCACAAGAAATATACATTTTTGAAACCCTACCCCCATACACATGTATTTTAAAAGTAGGTCAAACTCCAAGGTGGAAAGTTCAAAGTTCTTGGTATCCAATGAAAGGTCTTAATTGTCACAAGGATTACATATATGTGAAGTATGAAAGCCCCAGTCTCTACCGTTCAAAAGTTATGGCAAAGGTTAAAGTTTTTAAAATGTAGGCCAATCTCTAAGGTCAAAACGTTAAAGTTCTTGGTATCCAATGAAAGGTCGCAAACAATACATATTAAATAATTAGCACCAACTGTTCAAAAGTTATGGTCAAAGTAAAAGTTTAGTATTTTTGTGTAAAAGTGTGTCTAAGTTCAAGGTCAAAATTTGGTGGTACCCAAAGAAAAGTCTTCTCACATGGAATATACCTTGAAATATGAAAGCCATAGCCAAATGTTATGGACAAGGTTAAAGGTTTGGCGGCCAAGCAGCTAGACAGACGGACGGACGGATAGGGCAAAAACTATCTACCCTCGAATCAACGATTACGGGGGCATAAAAATACCAAGCTGAAGAAGAGCTAGTCTGCATAAAGAGGTCCAAGACTTAGAGGTGTTGCGGGCAGAATCAATATCAGGTAGGTAAGGTGGGTGGTGGTGGTGGTGGTGGGGGGGGGGGGGGGGGTTAGGTGTGGCTGAGAGTTCCTACATTCTAATTAGGGATGTCAACGAATATTCGCATATTCATTCGATGAGTTGATATTCGAAATTGAATCAAGTTTGTACAAAAAAAAAACAAAAAAAAAAACCACTCGATCCTCTTGGATTACCTGAAAGGTGTGAAGAGTGCATCCATTTTAGTAGTTTATTTATTTGTTCACTTAATTAGTGGTATAATAGTGTCCAGTACTTACAATCAGCTTGTATTGTTGTAAGGACAAGGTTTTACAGTAAACACACGGACCCTTTGTTTATGTAAATATCATTAAAATCATTATCAGGAAATTAAGATTAGCAAAAAGTAATTGATTTAAATGTTTCACCGTTAGATAATTGTTCCGCTTGGTATGAGTTTGTAGGAGTTATCGATGTAGACTTTAGTAAGACGATCAATTAATCTGGAACATACTAAAGAATCTTGAATTTTCAAAAAAACAATCATTACATTTTGGATATATATTATTCAATATATTTTTTAAAAAATATATAATTGCAGTGCATTTACCGCACTCTACTTGAGTTTTTATTTCAAAATAATGCCATAAAACCTATACTACTTGACAGGAGAGTGAAGATTTATATATTTAATAATGCAAGATGTATCTATTTTATCGAATATTCGAATATATTCGAATACTTCTATCGAATATTCGAATATCAATTATTGACAATTTTGACATCCCTAATTCTAATTACTGTTGTGAGTGTCAAATGAAGTGGTAAGGTAGAAATTCAGAGGAAAAATATACTATTGGTGAAGGCATGTGACGTTTGCTGCAATAATTGGAAAAAAATGTCCATTTTGATTGGGATCGGAATGCATTAAAATATTTTAGAATAAAAATGTCAAAGTGACAACAGAGTACAGACAAGATATTTTATACCTCACCGCATCCTTACCAAAACAATGGGCATAATAGATGGTGTAGATATTGGCATTCTTGTAGGGATTGGCGTTGACTTTATATGTTCATATGGTCTTTATCGTTGGTACGAACGAGCATTACGAAATGCGGTAAACATAGAGGTAAACCATGTGAAAGAGAAAGTAGGGTATATGAGATGCAAATGTATTTCTTTCCCATGCACGATTATCAGTCTATCTAGACCGAAAATGAGATATGTTGTTTGATCCCCATCAAATAACATGACAAATTACCTTAATTAACGAAGCCTTTTCATCTATCAAATTAGTTTTATTCAGTTGACTAGCTACTGTCAGTACTGAGCTAAAGTTGGGACCACTTGCCCAAACGGGATATAATTATAGCCCGTTTGGGATATAACATCCCAATTGGGATATAAATTTGCAGTGCAAAAAATGAAATTTTTGATTTTGGCAATAAATATCATAAATCTGCATCTGACCGTCCAATTTTGTCACGAGCGAACAGAATAGCATGTATTGACGCCCAGCTAGACATGTTAAATTTTTCCATATATCAAAATTCAGATATTTGTTAAAACTCTCTCAAATCAACTAATATTACTACAATTATGCATAGACTCAACTTACTTGCGTTGCTCTGAAACAATTTTGATGAATACAAATGGAGTTGCTCTGAAAATATTACTATCAATAATTTACTTTATTTTGAAATACCTACTGTTTACATTTGTAGAATGTTGAGCAGTATCAAATCAACCAAGACCTGCATAAAAAGCTTGAATATATGCCCTTCAGAACCATACCATATGGATGTATAGAAGGAGTGGTCAGCCCTGTGGGAACCACACTGAAGAGTCATTTCAAGGAGAACACGGAGGGAGTCATGCAGCACCACTCTCTGATAGAACATAAATCAAGGAGGGTCCAAGGCATTTGGTACAATTTTAGTTTTCATTTTACCGACTGATTGGTCACCTGAAACTCGCATTAAATTGTAAAAATTTCTGACTTGCTCTTTACATTGGTTTATGTAATTAAAAAGACTATTATGCTTTTTTTTAAAAGGTCTGATGTGAAAAATGCCATAAGAGATACGCTGGAAGTGATTCCATTCTACCTCATTCCACATGGAAACTCGTGGTATCCTACAAAAGTCATGGTTACTGAGCCAAACTCTGCCCACCACATTGACGAAGAGTTGACCATCACTCATGAAAACTTCGTCCAGGCCCAGTCTAATGTATTTAAAAAAGGAATGGAACTTGTCAGTGGGGAGGTGACCAAGGGTTACCAGGAATCCGAGAAAATGTTAATAGTCGGCACACACCTTCTGGCTATTGGTAAACTTGTTAAAGAGGGAAGTGAAATTAAGATGAAACCACCATCGGATGAATATAAGTACATCATCTCCCGAAAAACCAAGGATGAGTTAGCTAGACTGCTCAGAAACAAGGCCACATTCTTAAAGGTCTTTCTAGGGATATTTGGAGCAGTGGGAGTTGCTCTTATTTGTTACTTTGTCCGTAGATTTTACAGAAAACTTAGAAATCAAGAGGAGGGGGAAAGATTTAGGAGAGATCTTAGGAAGAAACGAGAGCTAGAGGAACAAAGGCGTGCTAGAGCTGCACACAGGTCAAATCCGGACAGTCTGTCTTCCAGTGAATTGTCTGATAGCAATAAATGTGTTATCTGTCTTAACAATGAACGAGAGGTTGTACTCCTAGATTGTGGACATGTTTGTCTGTGTGGAGACTGTGCATATGCATTACCTGAACCAAGATTATGTCCTATATGTCGTAGAAAAGTAGTGAGGTTTGTTACAACTTACACTCCATGATTATACTGTCTAAAAAATTAGATATCTATTTTAGCTCTGATGTGCTGATCAGAGTTTATATTTTTGTATATTAATCTAGTGTACGAGAGAGAGAGAGAAAATTCAATAAAATTAATTAATATTCAGAATTGCATTCAGTTATTAACTGTTAAAAGAAAATATAAATATGTTGTAGTAAGGCCCTGACTGCGATGGTTTTGTGCTCTGCAGCATAAAACTTACCCCGGTACAACAAAGTTGAAGAGGAATATTTTGTGGTGTTACCATACTTAATGAATATTTCCAGATTCTCTTTATAAACCACTGAACCAATTTTCAACCAATTACATAAAATCTTTCTTAGTACAAACATGGATATTGTTAAATTCATGGATATAATGAAATTATCTTGGATCCCCGCATTGCACGTGAATTTGGACGATCACTAGTCTAATGGCACAATACTGTATATAAATATAGCAAATTTCTAATACAAATATAAAAGATATAGCAAAGTAATTTCATAGGTCCCAGTGACTTTGTTATAACCAAGTTTATCTGAAGGTTTACTGTATATAAGAAAGGGGAGGACAAAATCATGAATTTCATGGTACTTTTCCCCATGGAGCCCAAGGCTTTGACTCCGACTTTGGACAAATTAAAGCCCTAAAAATTTATGCAATTTCTTAAATCTGCTTCTTCAACTCTTAAACACCAACTGTCAACTGATGGAAGTTCTTTTTTAAAAAAAAACATCTTAATCTCTACCCTATGATGAACAAGATTTTTTCCCCTAAAATTGTGAACTTCATGGCCCTTGATCAGGGGTGTAAACACAGGGCTGTTTTTTTAATACAAAGTTGATGTGCTTTAATTCTTTGTAAATCCTCCCAATCGCAGGGAAAGCATTACTGGCGTAATCGTGAATTAGCCCTGTCATTGCCAAGTACTGTATTAATAAGTAATTTCTTCCCCACTTTAGATCTGCACATGACCATCATAATTTAGGGCAATTAATTTTACTTGTAGTTGTTACAAATAACTAGTGAACTAATTATTCATTGATCTCTGATCTTTCTCTTTCTCTTGCTTTTTTTTTCCATTTCTATGGATCATTTACTTACTTTGTCCTCTTCGTGCTTTGAGCACCTAAGGCCTGCACCGAGGACCTCCATCTCTGTCTGTCTGCTGCCATTGTCTGTACAGTGCCCCAAGTCCACCCCTGATCATTCATTTAATTCCTTTTCAACCGACCGTCACCATGTCTCCTTTGGTCGCCCTCTGTTTCTCTTTCCTGGTGGAATCCATCTTAGGGCTACCCTTGGTATCTCTGATGGTTTCATCCTCATCACATGGCCAATCCATTTCCATCGTCTTTCTTTAATCTGGATCATTTACATTGTTGTATTACACATAGAACCATTTCCAGGTTAGTTTGGACTTTCAGTAAGGCATGGCATTCTTGACGTTACATAATTAGCTTCTGAAATTTACACAGCTTTCCTTCACTGTTGAAATATACATGGGATCGAAATTCGGGCAAATGTCAATTAGTGTATCGAATAACCAATAATGTTGTCCTCTCCGGCAAAGAGGTGGAGCTTAATTAAGTCTTCTCATCATTGTCAACAACAATTTAAAGTTCCTGATGTTATTACATAATTTCTAAACCAATGAGAATCTATTTGTTTTTTGACAGACGCTAATTATGTAGCGCTGAGAATGTCATGCCTTACTGGAAGTCCAAACTAACCTGGAAATGGTTCTAAGTGACTTAAGACTCTTGGGCCTCTTGTTCAAACTACATGTATTTCATAGTAATAATGTCATTGTTAAAATTATTCCTATTTTTATCAGGCTTGAAGTAAATTACTAGTATCAACTTTCATTTGTTTATGTCTTATATATTGGGGTTGGTGGGGAGGGGGCAGTGATGTAACGAGAGGCCCTATGTACTGAATGGTCACCTGAGTATTAAACAACACTGAGAAGAATCCAAGTAATAATTTGACAAAAGATGAAGATACAGGTTAACTTTTTTTTATCTCAACATCAACACAACCTAACAAGATATCATAGTTGTGACTTGATGTCCAAGATTTTGCTTTTTAGCAAAGCAATGACCAATTTTTTTATTTAATTCATTTGTTTATTAATTACAAGCAAAGAGGAATAACTCTTCAAGGCCAGAACAGGATCATAGAGCATATTCCACTCTCACATACACATACTGATTCCAACACAATTATGTCTCAGTACTTAAAATCCAAGGTCATAAGAAAAATCTATAGTTTATGGTTAAGTCCTCAAACCAATTTATGTCCTCATATGTAAAAACTTTTCTTTTTTTTACCAAAGGCATTCCTATAAAAATAACAATTCTAGGTTTTTTCATGTGTTTGCATATTCATTTATGCAAGTATCCAGCTTCCCATACATCAACTTTTATCTTTTGTTCACCTGTATGCATCCTCATATGTCTCTGCAAGGATGTCTTTTGAATGAAGGCCTTGCCACATAGATTACAATCATGTAGATCTTCACCTGTATGTATCTTCATATGGTATTTAAGACACTGTGCTCTTTTAAATTCCTTCCCACACACATCACACTTAAAGGGTTTGTCATCGGTATGTGACCGTATCATGTGTATCTTAAGCTGATCTAATCCACTGAAGGTCTTTCCACATAAATCACATATATATGGCATATCCCCTGTATGTGTTCTTATGTGTTTCCGTAAGTTAGTTGAATCACGGAATGCCTTCCCGCACACGTCACATTTATAAGGTTTTTCACCTGTATGTATCCTCAGGTGTACCCGTAAGGTGCTTGAATCGGAGAACGCCTTTATACACACATAACATTCGTAAGGTTTATCCCCTGTATGCTTCCTTATAATGTGATATTTTAGGTGTGATTTCTGCTTGAATACCTTCCCACATGTGCTACATTTATAGGCCATATGACCTGTATGTGTCCTCATGTGTACATGTAAGTTTCCCTGATGGGAAAATTCCTTCCCACACGTATCACATTTATAGGGTTTGTCCCCTGTATGTATCCTAACGTGATTCTGTAATTCAAATTCTCGTTTGAATTCCTTCCCACACACATCACACATTTGAGTTTTATAATTTTTATGTGCCTTCATGTGGTTCTTCAAGGAAGTTTTATCACTGAAGGCCATCACACATATCTTACAATTATAAGGCTTTTCACATGTATGTATCCACATATGATTGTTTAAGCTTTTCTTGAAATTAAATGCCTTTCCACACACATCACAGCTATATGGTTTTTCATTGGTATGTGTCCTCATATGTTGCATTAAATTAGAGTTTTCAGAAAATGCTTTTTGGCACAAACTACATTTAAAAGGTTTATCCCCTGTATGTGTCATCATGTGTCTTTTCAAATGATTTGAACGACTTAATATTTTCCCACAGATGTTACATTGACGTGGCTTTTTACTTGAGTGAATTTCTGAAATCACTGTTTGATTGGTGTCAGCAGTTACTGTTATGTTCTTTAACTTCTCAGCTTCACTTTGAATATGTAAAAGACTCAAATAAGCCATTTGTTCCCCCTGTAAAAAATGATAAAAAACATTCTGTCAATTATACTATATCAAGGATTTATATTTTATGAAGTTAAGTAGAAGTGTCAATCGAGATTTATATGAACCAAAAGTATGCAAAGACAGTCATTTTTGTGTCGCCTACAGAGCAGAGCTGCACTAAAGGATCACTTAACCCAGTGTCTGTCTGCCTGTCCGTCCGTCTGTCTAGCTGTCCATCTGTCTATCTGTCACACTTTGGTATATCAAGAACTGTAAGAGATATGGACTTGATACTTTGCACATTTATTGCTTGCCACTATAGCATTTGTAAATTGCCATGGTTACTGACCTTGTGACCAATGACCTTGTCGTTTGACCTACTTTACTAAAAAGTTAAAAAATGCCAATATACAGCATATTTTTGACATTTAAGGGGAAATTCCATGCCTGCTATTTAGCATGTGCACTGATTGCCATAAAACACTATGAAAAATACCAGCATAAAAATTCACTTGACCTTTGACCTACTTTACAAAGAATACCCAGGACAGTTTTTAAGGCTTTCGAATTTTGAGTGGCTGGGTTGATAATTAAGATTTATACATGTTTACAAGCTCATAATACTCTTCTTTGAAACTGTATATTATTCAGTTACCACACAAACTGATATTTAAATATTCAATAATGAAAATACATCTGGATCAGATTCTGGATCCCAAGTGTAGAGTGACAAATGTTTTAAAGACTTTGAAACATGTATTAACACATGTATTGATGATAACTGATTATTTATCATAATTTCAATGTAAAATTATTCATTTGAAGGTTGGAAATCATATTTTATTTGATTGACAGACTCTATCGCAGTCTTACACTATGTGTGGATATTTTTTTGTTTTTTTGAACTATCATGCTAGATTTTTTTTTTGCATGAAATACTGTTTATGGTAGTAGAATATAAATAGCTGATCACCCTTAGGTTTAATAACATCTTAAAAAAAGCTAAAAGCAGGCGACTCATGCATTCCATCAAACACTCTAGTTATTTCACATGTGACAAATGAAAAGTGTTCCTAAATTCTATTCAGAAAAGATCTTTGTAAATATTTAGTAACATATAGATCAAGCTCCTAACAAACCCTTAGGTAAAAAACAATTTTCCAAATGTATAGGCAGAAAGATTGCATGAGAGACTTTAAGATTGACATGGTAATTCCCAAATCCCCCAAACTTTGTATGCGGGTTGGGGTAGGGGATAAAAAAGATGGGGGTCTTTCTTTCATATTTTCCATATCAAAATATCAAATGATTTATAATAGAATGGTTACTACCTTTTTTTATTGAGGTAAATTTGCCATGAGCAACCTAGGGTTCTAACAAGTTTTGATGGTTTTTTAAGACTTTACATTTGATAGATGAAAAGACAGACTGGCACACTGATTCTACAGAGCCTTAACACAAGGCCCTAAAAATTCATATCTACCTTCAATACTATCTGCTCTTGAGGTTCTTCTTTGAAATTCCTCTTTGCAGGGTCAAAATTCCCATGTGTCATTTCTACAATAGAGAGAAGTTATCTACAAGGACACTACAAATTCTTTTTAATACAAGAATGTACCGGTAGTAAATCAGTGGAAACAAGGCTTCTAATCGTTCCTCGGATAGGGAACTTTTAAGCCAGAGTGAGGCTTACATCAACAACCTTCTAGGTTTTAATTAAATTGTTGTAATAACGCACTCTCTCTTTTAAGTCCTCTGACACAAGTAAAACAATGAATTCAACAGAAAATGGAATGTGAATTGAAATTCATTAATTAATTTATGAATTACTTTGCAAAGGATTTTCTTTTATCTTTTATATATATACATACTAATAGATTTGCCATCTGAAACTTGATCTTCAGAAAAAGAAGTAGGCCACATCTCAAAATCTGACATCAGAATCTGCAATACTGCTCAAAAAACCTGTTTAAACAAAAGAGACAAGTTGTTTAAAGTTACAAAATGAGTCAAAATCATGTGGGTTTTTTAAAGATATCGGTATCATACATCAAAAAATTTATGAAAATTATGAGTATAGTGAAGATATGACAAGTAATCTGCACTGTAAAGCAAGAAAAGACTGCACAATATAAGTGCCGGAAAAACAAAGGTTGTATCTACCGTTTCATTGTTTTCATGTATGTCAAGATCACGCCACTTTTATTTTTAGCTCAAACTTGTCACCAACATTCAACTGGAGCATGCAAATGTGAGAAATATGTTCTAACAAGTTTTTAAAAAGATTGTATCAAAATTCTTGGTCTGCTTAAATTCATTCTTAGGCACTTGAGACCATGGTAACTTATTCAACTTTTTTGTGTACAATAGGGAGGAAGAAGTAATTAAAGCAATAGTTTTGTGCTGGGGCATAATGAAATTATTTTTTCTTACATTTTTCCTCAAAAAAGTTTTAGGTTCTGAAACATGTATACTAATTTTCTGAAACCTAATACTTTCAGGTTTTGAACAAAATTTATAAGGGTCATGCAAAAATTCAATGTTTGTCAGTTTTCCCTTTTGTGTGTCACAGTGTCTAATAAATTCTAAAAAGATGTGTTTGTAAAACACTAATGCCCCCATATGGCAACTTATGGTGAGGATTAAAGTTTCTCAAATACAAGTCATCCTCAAAGGTAAAGGTCAAACTTGTTGGTATCCAGAGGAAGGTCATGTCATAAATAATAAACCTGTGAAATATGAAAGCCAAAGTACTAACTATTCAAAAGTTATGGCCATGCAAGGTTAAAACTTTTTAAAAGTTGGTCAAACTCTAAAGTCAAGGTCAAAAGGTCAAATCTGGTGATACTCAAAGAATGGTCTTGTCACAAGAAAAACATATTGTGAAGTGTGAAATCCCTAGCACTAACTATTCAAACGTGATGACCAATGCTAAAGTTTGGCAGTTTTTGTAAAATTGGGTCAACCTCGACGGTCAAGGCCAAAAGGTCAAATTTGGTGGTAACCAAAGAAAGGTCTTGTCACAAGGAAAATACACCAGTGTGAAATATGAAAGTTATAGTCCCTACCATTCAAAAATTATGGGTACGGTTAAACTTTTTGTGGACAGACAGACGGACAGGACAAAAACTATATATCCCCGAATCTTTAATTATCAGGCATAATCTTCGGGCATAAAAATAGCTAAATCAAAAGATTAATGTGATGGTCCAGAGACACATAAATATTATTTAGGCCACTATGTTTCTGGATGGACCTGTTCCGTGTCCTTGTAATACATCTCATAAATAGAGATCAAGTATTTTTCAACACATAGTAAAACAATTGAAAATAGTCTTATTTTTTAGCATTTGGCATTTTTTCTTGCATATTAGGCTGAATGAAAAGGCCTAATTTATCCGCTATGCAGAGATACACGTTAATGGGAAAATTCGAAAAGATGATTTAAAATGATTTCTTTTCTCAAACCTTTCTCAGTAGGATCTCTACTTCTTATAAAGATATTTTGTTTTAGTGCTAAGCTCTGTGCAAGGGTCAAAATAAGATTTTTGTTAATAAGAAACATTCTGATTCTGTGGGTAAACAAATCAAAATGCCGATCCCGATATCTAATGTATTTGACGGTAACTTTGCGCATAAGAACTAAAGAACTGCGAACGATAGTATTGTTCTCCCGCCTACCTCCAGAAGTTAAAATATTCGATAATTTTTTAATATTTTTTTTATAGATAATTATACGGATTTTCATAAAACATTACTTATTTGAGAGAGATAACTCTAAAATGTTGGTAATACGTGTTTTTCACTATAATCAACGTAAAAAGAAAAATATTTTTAAAACATCCCCCGTTTCACAAAAATTCCTTTTTACAGGTAATATGGAATGTTATTTCACACATTCATACCAAAGCTTTTTGTGTGACACGGGGGGGGGGATATGTTTATTGACAAAAAACGCTAAAAATGTTTAATATTTTCCACCAATTTCAAAGCGATTTACAACTGAAACATTGTATTTTATTGATATTATATTTATGATTTATTTATTTGCCTAAAACATAAGAAAAAATATAAGGAAGATTTAATCATATACAAGACTATTTCGAAATATGATGATGCTTGAAACTCTGGTTTCAATGGAAAATCATCAATTACCACTGAACTGTTCTTTGTATTAAACAAAGATTATATGACCAAATTGCTATTTATATTGAATTAAATGGTTCCAAAATGTAGGCGGGAATCGAGATGTCAGGACCAATCTTATGAAAATCTTGTATCCTTTGGGTCAAATAAAGACTACCTTTGGGGGTGAAGTACTGAAGTACATACATTAAAGCCAACCCATATATAGCAGCCCCCCCCCCCCCCCCCCCCCACACACACACACAATGGGGAGGGCCCATGCAATAAGGGCAACTCAGGTTTTAAAAAATATAACAAGGGAAACAAGATTTGTTTGAGAAATGAAATATATGGAGATAACTAGATAGAATGTTCTATCGCATCGTCGGAAACCCACGGGTGATCTCGTCCTTACTTAACGAGACGTGGGTTCCCGACGATGATTCTATCGTTAAAATGTTAAATGTCCTACGGACCCGGCTTGTCCCGAGGCACAGTTAGATTATTCTAACTAGGAGATTACGAACAGCATTCGAGCTTAAAAGTCCATAAAACAATTTTAAAAAATAGGAGCAAAGCAAACAGGACCTCCACAACATCAAAGGTGGGATCAGGTACCACGGAGGAGTGAACATCCCTTACCGACCGTTTTTTGAGGTCAGTACAATGATTTAGCCATCTGAGGAGTACAATATTCACCGAGCCCGAAGGGCGAGGTGAATATTGTACTTCGAAGATGGCTAAATCATTGTATTGACCGAAAAACAGCAATAATTGTTTTATTATATGATTCACTGATAAAATGATACAGCTAATTGCTTGTTTGCATTTAATCAAGTCCTAGCCAAATACAAGAGAGAAGCAGAATTGAAATGTAAATAAACCTCACCAGTCGTATCAATTTGAATTTTTTTTAATCAATTTTAGTTACCATGAAAAAAGAATATAATTTCAGTCTTTTTTATAGGATAGATTTTGAAAAGAGGAATATATCATCAGGGAAAACTGACACCAAAAAAGTAAAAATTACCGTTCAGTAAGAGTGTTGGAGGGGGCCCCTGCATCCCCTATTACCACCCTCACCCGAAAATATATACCCGCTTATGTTTTGTTCAAATGAAAAAAAAGTCATAGTCGTATAAATAACTTTCCAAAAGAATTTGTATCAATTTGGAATTTCCCGATCTATTTTTAGATCAATGTAGAGGAAATAAATCCTTGTATTCACCTGGAACGTCACGTGCAGGTCAATACAACGTAGTATTTTTCTAACATAGATGGATCTCAGCCAATCAGAGAGATGGAAATTATTTAATTATATAATAATTAAATTTACACCCCCCCCCCCAAAATGAGAAGAAATCACAAAGCAATACAAATTGCTCTGATGTGTAAAAATTTCTATGAATAAATGAAATTTCATGTTAAGAAAAGTGCAAATTTAAAAAAAAACAAGCTTTGAATTAATTTGTACTTAGTCTCTTTCATTGGGGCTGATGCGGGAGGGGTTACTGTTTTAATTATTGGGGGGATACATTTTTCTGTAGGTTGGTCCTTATTTGATCTGTACAATCAATGCATTTGAAGGAAATCTTAAAACTGAAGAGAGAGAGAGAGAGAGAGAGAGAGAGAGAGAGAGAGAGAGAGAGAGAGAGAGAGAGAGAGAGAGAGAGAGAGAGAGAGAGAGAGAGATGTAGCTCTCCGACAAAAAAACAGACTTGTTCTTCCATCCCAATTTTATCAAAACCAGCGAGCTACTGCAGTGATCTGTACATAGCTTAATTAGGCAAAAAAAAAAAAAAACAAAACAAAAAACTGTCGCGTTTTGAGAACAGATCGGGTTTGGTATTCTCTAAATTACGAATAACAAAAATACATGCAGAGACGGTGGTAGACGACAAAGTACTTGTTTTGGATGCTGGTAGTACAGAGACAAACTGCAAGTAAAAAATGTCGTGCATTGAGGGGAAATGGTTTCGTGAAATGAACGAAATGTGGTCTGGATATTGTGTGTCTTTGCAAATAGAACAAATTTTGCACCAAGAAAAGTCTAAATTTCAAGAGATCCTCGTGTTTAAAAGGTAAGAGCACGTTAGCTCAAGTATGCATTTATCACGGTGACCCGATGAAGGTGATAAGAGCTTGTTAATTTCCCCCGATGAATTGAACAAAATAAAAAATCTGTGACTTGCGTAACGAGAAAAAAAATTGAGGATGAAAGGCAAAATGCATTTTCTTGTTTATATATACATGTACTTTTTAGTTTTTTAATTAAAAATATTTCATTAAAGCTAGGAATTCAACAAACAAGAAGATTATATAAAATTGCCAAAATATTAACTTCCAGAAATAATATACAATTATGGACTGTTTAGAAGGGAGACATCACCAGTTATCATAGTTAGAATAATCTAACTGTGTCTCGGTACAAGCCCTCACCACAGTTAGAATACCACCCATATACTCGTAATGTAGCAAAAACTTGCAGAATCGCACCGAAACGATTTTGAAGGATACAAACGGATTTGCACTGAAAATAACTTGCAAATTAATCATAACAAACCTTTTTGAAATTGCTTATGCCTTTTATCCCAAAAAAATAATCCATATAAATACGAAAATCCAATTCATTTTCTCAACGTTTTTCTCTCGATTCAAATTACCTCCATGTTTACATTCGGAACTCTCTAGATTGTTCCTAGTAAATGCACTATGCGAGTTATCGCCCGTGTTTCTTTCTGCTACATTACGAATACACGGAACGAATTCTATCGTTAAACCGGGTCCGTAGGACAATATCATTTTAACGATAGAACATTCTATCTACAGTTATCAGGTCTGAGTAGGGTTGTCACCCGAGGGCGCTTGCGCCCGAGGGTGACAACCCTACTCAGACCTGATAACTGGTGATGTCTCCCTTCTAAACAGTCCATAATAGTTTTATTATCCTGAAGAATATTTAATTATCAATTAGATAGAGTAGAAAATAGTAATCAAACCTCTTGTTTTCTTCTACTCTGCTCCGATTCCATCCTTTCAAAATATGTCAACAGACAACGTTGACGTCATCGTTAGAATTTATTGTTTACCGATCCCGCATATTTAGCCATTGTATTTATAAATAGGAGTTATCTCGCTTAAACCACTGTAGTCTTTATCAAAGGGCGACAACACAGTTGTAACCGTGCATGCTCGCTTACGCTATTTCATTGTCATCTGAAGGGAGATAACAGTTGTCACCCTGCGCGTGAGGGAGACATCACGAGTTGTCTCCCTGCACGTGACCTGCTCTAAACCAATCAGATTGACTGTATAATTCTGAAGGATAATAATATTCATTATTTAAGTGATCATCCTTTGGAGACACAATTTCTATCAAGTATTTACGCTTTAAATTATGTTCTTGTCATGACATGACAACTTGTTATTACATGTATATGTTTTAAATATAATATATAAGGCCTAATAATTTTAATATTATATCCAAAACATGTATGGTTGCATAAACCTAGAGCCAAGAGTATTGAGAAATACCATCTTGGTCCAACTGTACCCCCCGGAGACAGCAGTCTCTGCAGAGTTGACACATATTTTATAATAATTTTCAATGTAATTATTTAAATATGCCCCTATTTCAGTCTAGTGAATCTCAGATATTTTAAAAGGTTAAAAGTCCCTAATCTTGACATTGCACTGCCACAACTAATGTACAGGTTGTAACTAAAGAAAAAGTTTATATAGGTATGTAGAACATGTCTGGTAAAATATGTCGGAGTCTTATTGTGAAGCATTTATGCATGAAGAAGGAACCAACAGTATCTCAGGCATTTCAGTTTTTAAACTGTCAAGCAAAGAATGAGTTTCCTTAACATCCTATTTTAGGTCCCTATCGAGCTTTAAATGAAGTGAATCCAAAATTTTTTTAAAAGAAATAGTGATTAAGATCTACATATCATGATTATATCAGGTAGATAATATGTACAAAAGCAATGCCTTGTTGTCAGAAATCAAAACTGAAGCAACAAACCAGTGTCATCATTGGGAATTTGACATCCAATAAGAGTAGTTTTCAGATCACCTAATCAGTAATTTAAAAAGAGATGGGACTATCCATCAACTCTCTCTCTCTCAATTTGATTAATATGTGAATGGTATTAGTATACAAAAATTTTAGCAATGACTGTCACAATATAAAAAAGTTATTCTCTGGTAAATATTTTAAGGACACACATTATAATAACATTAGATTTAATTTGTTGAATCCTGCAAATGGTAGCCCAACAGAAAAGACACTCAACCTAAATAAGATTAATGTCAAGTTTAAAGCTGGACACCAATCTGTGAATTGTAATATTAAACAGGTCAATCAAGGTGAAATCAAGGTTAACACAATCATTATAATTAAAGTGACATTTTTTTCAAACATGTTTGTTGAATAAAATTAAGTTTGAGCACACATTTAATATTGCCTTAAATGTGTTGATTGAATATATGAAATGATTTGTTCAATACAAAGCTAAAGTTTTAAGAACAGCCAACAACCATTCACTGACTTTATATAGGTATATGTTTTAAGATGTTGTAAAAATATAACCTATTAATAATCTAGAAATCTTTGAGTCCCATGCCTTTGATTTCTTTTTGGTTTCCTTGAAACAAAAGTCTTCAATAAATTCATATACCTATCAAGAATACATGTACTTAGTTAAGATATAAGTGATCTATAATACAGAAAGAAATAAAAACATTTTATAACGCTTAAATTTATGGCTTTTTAAAAGTACTCTTTAGTTCACTCATTCTTTATCTATTTTAAAGTAGGTCAAAGTTTTAGATTTGAAGGTACATGTTACACAAAAGATTATGCAGAATATCCAAGTTACGTAATTTCTTCAATCGTGATTAACAGTAACAAAAAAAGGAAAGAGCTAAAGAAAAATTAGTAATATCTTCAATGTAGTATATTTATGAAAAGAAGATGATTGTGTCTTGGAGCACATTGTCAAATGTCCCAGTTCAATAAAAGAAATTTGACTTAATTTTTGTTTTAACAATTTACCTTGGCCTGGAATCTTTGTCTTCTTTTGCCACAATTATTACTATTGCCATGTATATAGACTACCCTATATGATCTAAAATCTCATCAAATTCATTACAGGGTTAAGGACCTGACAAGGAGTAAGCCCTGAAATTTACTTTTCCTAAGTAAAGGGTTGTGGCTTTAAGGCTCTGTGGTGAAATATTAAAAAAGCATTTCTTTATTATCCCCCAAAATATAATTGACAAGTTATTTTCAATATTATGATAGGCACTGAAGCATCTAACATTCTGAAATGATCTTACGAGATAGATATATCAGGATAAGGACATCATAGAATCCCCCTTAAAAAAACTCAACATATTGCACACTAGCAATTAAATATTTAGGTATAATAATGTAATGTATTTGGTTTAGGCAGTACGTTCTTTTGCAAATGAAATTTAAGGTAAACATGGATATACTTGTGTCTAGATTACCCTGTCTGTTGTGTCCATTTATCACATATAGTTGAACTTCAGTATCTGGAACTCGGATATCTCAAACACCATGGATATGTCAAAGTGATCTGGAGGTCCAGTCCACTTATTCTTTTAGTATTTTATCTTTGATATCTTGAATCATTGGATAAGTCACATTTTTTCTGAGTCCTATTTATTTTATTAAGATGACAAAGTTTAACTTCAATTGGAATAGCTGTGATCCACTAATGTTCCTTTAAACAAGTGATCACATCAGATAAAAGTGAAAAAAATCTGTATGATGTCATAATTTCCTTGCAACCTATGTATTCTAAATATTTTATTTACTTTTGAAATAAACACTACAAGTGAGTTTTTAAAATAATTCATGAATTAAGGTTAAAGTAGAAAAAGCATCACAAGCATGTGGTATCAGCGTAAATTTGAATTTAGAAAGATATGACACTAGTCTTACTTCGATAATGTAGATGAAGAATTTTCCTTTTCAATTATGTTAGATAAGGAATATAAGAGACATGATAAATAAGTTCTGTTCAAGAGATTTATACATAGAAAGGGGGGGGGAAGGGTTTACAAATGAACTTACAACTTGGCCACATGTAGGAGGGATCACTTTGATGTTTAAATGAACAAAAGAAATTTGTGTCTCTTTTTTTGGACCATTTTCACAGAGGAATGTAAGAAACTTGTATGTGACATAAAAAAGGTTTGTTTACCAAGTTAAATAATGTTGTAAATCAACTGAGCAAACATCAGTTTGATATCATATATTATGTAATATCATATCATATGACCACATCCCGTGATGAATATTTGCAAAAACACTCCAGTTATATTTGACCATTAGATATGTATTGCCACTTGTAACATGTTTATGTGCAAATTCTGATATTTTAAACAGACAAACATCATATTTATACTTTTTCAAAAAGACCAATTTGAAAGCGAAATAAAAAGAATTTTATTTTCAAAGTTTATTGCCTGCAGGTGCATGCCATAATACTATGATGTCATACTTTACATTTTTCTATTATTCATGCATTACTCAGTGCTTCTTTTACAATTTTGAAATGTTATATAATTTATATAATAAGACAATGATATAGTCAGCTGAATTATTTTGTAGCAAATCGTTTGGGAATGTGCTGGTCCTTGACGGTATTATTCAGTGTACAGAGAGAGATGAGCATGCGTACCAAGAGATGATAGCCCACCTACCACTGTCCTGTCATGAAAACCCTCAGCAGGTATACATCAGCATATCATGCAGTACTGTAAAATCACATATCTTCAAGGGTTCACATTTTCGAGGTTTGAGAAAAATATATTTGTTCATGGGGATTTGATTTCCTGGTTGAACTATTGTTCAGTAGTAATACATGTATATATGAAAAATTGCATTTCATGGTGAACATAAATTTGTGGGTTTCTTCATACCTTGAAAACAATGAAACTTAAAGTCCGAGGAGAATGAGTGATTTCACAGCATGTCCTAATACTAAGTAGACACAATGTAACACATTACTTGAAATACCATGTATGAATATTAATTTTTTGGTACATGTACAGTCATAATGAAAAAAAAATGAAACAGGAATTTACAGAAATATTTGCAAAGCTTATTTTACTTTGTTATATTTATTTATCATAAAATCCAGTACATTTAGGTAGTTTGAATTTCTTGCTGACAAAGTGCGATGAGTTGAAAATAGTTTGTCAAACCAGAAACTAGCAAAAAAAAAAAAACCAAACCTAAAACCAAAACTTAAAATTAGGTACCTGTATAAATTTTGAAATAATTTTAAAATAAAACAAAATTGTCACAATGTGCTTTAATATAGATAAGTCCATTTTTAGTTTTATATGGTGTCAGGACTAGACTTGGTATAAGAGTGTTCTATGTTTGTGTTAAGTATAATGTTTATACTAAGCTTCCTTGCTTTAGGTGCTTGTTGTGGGGGGAGGAGATGGAGGCGTGGTCAGGGAGGTCCTGAAAAATACCAGCGTCCAGAAGGTCATTCTGTGTGAAATAGACGAGGTAATGTTCATTCCAACAAAGTCACCTTAAATTATGTTTGCTAATATAATTTTTATAAGAAGATGGGTTGTTCAAATACATAGAATATGGTGATACCTGTATAAGTTTCTGAACTTAGATCCATATATGTTTATTTGACTTTGATCACCGTGAAAAACCTTGTCATTATTAATGGCGAGTGTTCAATACTTATTAATGAAAAGGGCCTTTCTGACATATGTTTACTTCACGTTCTTGTGTTTGGAGACAGCGTGTTATAGAAGTCTGTAAGAAGTACCTTCCCTCCATGGCGTCCTGTCTCAGTGATCCTCGTGTGACCGTGTTTGTGGGGGACGGAATTAAGTACATGAAGGAACACAAGGGACAGTTTGATGTCATCATCACTGATGCTCCAGATCCTATTGGTAGGTCACAAAGTAATAAAATTCTCATTGTAATGTATGAAACTCTTAAATATTACAAACCCATATATTATATTTTTTTTTAAAAAAAGAGAGTTTATAAGTCATATCATGTTTTAATTAAAGAAAATGTCAGCCATGCTGAAATTTTACAAATCTTGGACATGCAATATACTGACTAGAATTTAATACTCTGTCTAAGCTATTTAAAAACACAAGTAGATGTACATCATGTACAATGAGCTGTATTGCTTGTCATAGTTTGTTATCATATACACTGTTAAGCCACATAGTTTTTTCCTGTCGGAAACAAATTTCTTTTCCTCACAGGAAGATTTTTATATGCTTATGGTAGCCTACTTGATTTATGATTATATTAAAGGTCAAAATCATTTGTAAACAAAATTATTAGAATGATTTTGATTTGATCATAGTTTGATATTATTGGAATATTTCAAGCAAGTTATTGTGGCAATTCAGACTTCTTGCACTTTCCTACAGAGTTCTGAAGTGTTCCTTGTTTTCAATGCCTATTGGAGATGATAAAATTGAGAATCTGAAAAATGAAAACACCTCAAAGCTATTATTTTATGTCACTTCCCATGAAATTAGGAAGGCATATGGGCATAACTCTTATGTTAACCTGATGTAAACCTGTATGTATTTCCACCCATGTTCCTTTCATTCTGAAAATGATCTGGATTGGGAAGTTCATTGCGTTTGCTTTTTGGGTCAGTTCGTTAAAGGGCATCAAATTTTCTTTCAGGTTAAAAGAGTTTTTTACTGTAATTCAATGACTCAGGAATATTATGAAAAACATTATTCGAAGGATGTTCATATTTACCAACAGTTGCTTTAATGAAGAGCTTATCTGAGATCTCTTTTGAGGTCAAAAGGTCAGGCTTTTGTTGCAAAAAATCAAGTTATTGATTCTTTGCAAAAACCTTTAAAGTTGGTAAGATTTTTGTATTTGAATTGAATCCTTTTGACTTGTCTGCTTTAGATGTTATATTTTAAAAAAATGCCTTTTCAGGTGCAGCAGCAGGGCTGTATGAGGAATCATATTATGCTAGTATGAAGGCAGCTCTACGTACCAATGGAATCATCTGCTGTCAAGGTTAGATTCAGTCACAAGTCTGTAGTGTTTAAGGGGATGAAGGACCTTTGGCTGAAAAAATACCTGTCATTTAATTTTTTTTCATATTTTGTATATATCTTATTTAGTATGTCCCACATACTATAAAGCAGACATATCAATAGGTTTCTAGACTTATTTATGAGATATTGAGTGACAAATACCATACCCCACAGTGTCTGAGCGGAGTTTTTATTCTCCGTGTTTCTGGGTCCATTACTCGGTTAATAATTGAATTTTTTCAGCATAGATATAAAATATGCCAGCGGAAATGTGTCTTTTAAAATATTTCAGGGTATGAATAGGGTTAAAAATTCGGAAAAGCAAGATTCTTTTGTAACACCACATCTGGAGACGGAAATTTACGTACTTTTTAAGACAACTTAAACAATTAAAAAATTAATTTGCAAAAAATCCTATCATTCAATATTTGAAAATTTACGTCGCAGTGCAAGTTCGTCATTGTATTGATTAACTGTAAAAATATCGATTGGTGAAGCTGAGCTCAATATTGGACGGGGCAAAGTTAAACGAGACATGATCATAAGAAAAACGTGTCATGTTTACATTTCTCGAGTACGGGAAAACCCAACTATGACGTCACACATTTCTGAAATAAGCGAAATAAGACATACCCACAAAACATTTCGTCAACAACCATGTAAAAATATTTTTTTGCATTCTGAAATTCACAAAATACCCCACCATGTACAGATTATGGTCCGTTTTTATGATTTTATACTACCCGTTTTACCATGTATGATCTTACTGTACTAAGAGATCCACTATGACGTCAACGACGTGCTGGATGCGCAGTGTAGGGAAACGGAAGAGTGGATTAATCTATTCCGTAATTTTATAATATTTGCAAGAAATTTTAAATGTTTTCAGATATTTTTATACTAGATGGTGAACGCAAACAGACAGTCAAAAAATTATACAATTACTGTGGTTTCAATCTCCTTATGTACATATTTTATCAGAGATTATGACGTAATTCAACTGAGTCACGTGACCATACATCCTTCGTCCCCTTAACTTAAGTTGTCAAAATTGCAAAATGTGCAATTTAGAATAACTGATAAAGTATTAAAACATGAAGGAAAGAAGCAGCATCTAAACTAGCATTTGCCAAAGCATATACAGATGGATCAGTGTGCAGCTTTGGTTTCATTTATCTGGCATTAGAAATATGTTGTAGTCTGTGACTGGTGATTATAGAAGCATTCATAGATACAACTTATGAGCAAGTAAGAATGTCAATTCATGTAAAGACAAGGAAGTAGAATAAATGTAGTTACCCACAAAATTAAATCCCTACAAACTAAAAATATTTTGGATATCCAAGAACATTGATGCCCACCAACTTGTTCATCCTTTACATGAAGGCTGAGAAAACTTCAAAATTATTTCTCAAACAGTTCCAAGTCCTTAAATTCCTTTTGGTCTTGTGTTCAATAATTATGATAGATATTACTCAATACTTGATATCGCGATTACTTAACTTAGCGGAACTCTTTCGCGAAGGAGGTAGGAATCGTCTGTTGGGTGGGGGCAATGTGCTTTTCAATACAATGCAAGATCGATCATTGTAGCATTTATAAGGACAGATAAGTAAAACATCCTGGTGGAATACCTCGCTAAACAATCGCTGAACCAGCCTAATATATTTTTGAGAGGAGCCAATCCTAAATTGTCACATTTTTAACGATATTTTTAATTAAGCGGACTCTTTTCGTTAAATTTTCATTGAAAATCGTCACATTTTTAAGCAGATAAAATATTCTAACTTTCCTTATTTGACATTCTACTATTTGGAGTTCAATATCTCGCAAAACATCGTGATTTCGTCATTAAATTGTTCGAATCATTCGATTGTCACTACTGTAAACAATGTCATTTGCCCCCAGAAATGTAGACTTTTCTCGACTCCCCCGCAAAAGAGCGGTAGTAAGTTAGATAACTGCGAGGTACTCATTGGTAGTCGCGATATAAAGTATTAAGCTATAAATAACTATTTTTGTTTGCTTTCTCAGGTGAGAATCTGTACCTTGATCTACCACTGATTAAGAAGCTGATGGGAATCTGTAGACAGACTTTCCAGGCTGTGGGGTATGCCTACACCCTGATTCCCACCTACACCGGCGGCCATATAGGATTCGTCCTCTCCAGCACCAGTCCGGTAAGACAAATTGTCATCACACTTTAAATGAGAGGTCATATACTGTAGAATCACAAATTTTCATGGGGACAAAATTTCATTGATTTGTCATCTTAAAAGGTTTGGTTGGCATTAAATTTCGTTGTTTTGAAAATACCTTTATTTATTATTTAGTAAAATAAAAATTTTGTGTGGGATTTAATTTCTGCTTTTACAGCATATAGAAATAGACAGTTTTCTTGTTAAAGATTAAAAAAAGCTTCATAGTCTGTAAAGTTCAGCATCATGTTCTTATTAAAGGTTGTGCTGCAAGGTCAAATGATTTTTTTTCATTACTATCTGGAGCATTTTGTTGGGTTTTTTTCCCTGCGCAGCTTACATTTTAACTGATAGAATTCTAATCATGGTCTATTTTGATTTAAGGATGTTAAATTTAATGAACCAAGAAGGATTTACAGTGAGAGTGAAATCAAGAAGATGAAAATGAAGTATTACAACTCAGAAATTCATAAGGCGTCATTTGTGATTCCACAATTTGCCAAGGAGGTGAGAATTTTGAAAAAAAGTTGTGTTCAAAATGTAAATTTCTGTGTTTCAGATTTCAATTGATTAATGAAAATTTTAGTATGTTGAATTTCTCATACTTATGGCAGATATTACATGCTAAAAAAGGAAAGATATCTGAGAGATTTGCTTTATTCATAACATCTGGAGAACTTTGACCTTTGATAGTGAACTTAGTGTAAAGTGAAATGAAAAATTGCATAATAAAATGTAGGAAAATTATCATTGAAGAAGTAGAATATTAAAGTTTAGAATGTAGCATTAGAACATTAATAATAGGGTGGTTTGTCATCAAGCTTTATGCAGCATATTGGATTGCAGTTATATTCTTAGAAGTATGTCCGACACCATTTTATATATATTGGATCTAAGATGAAGAGAAATTCACGCAGCATGACCATTATCTACTCAACACAAAAAATTGCAACAAAAATAGCGATCTTGTCACTGGCAGTATATGTGTTCTGAGATAGCTTGAGCTAATGACATAATCTTGGACTGTATTTCAGGCTCTGGAACAGGTCTCCAATGGAGTTTCCGACACTTGATCAACTGTTTTAACCTGAGTTGCCACCGCACTGATTACTGCGTAATCTCTATGACCTTCTTGCACTCTTCCTGCACTCCAGTAATGATGTGTGTAGACAGATGAATTTCAGTATACAGCAGTGACGATCAAGAGTTCAGTCCCTTGGCCAGTTTCCATGAATATTTAGTCTTTTTTTTTATTCTATAAGACAGTTTTAATATAGATTTTATGTTAGTATACAGTTTGAATATACTCAGTCTTTGTAGAAAATATGAGCATTTTTGTAATAGCAGTATTCTATCATATTGATGATAAATTTTAAAACTTTTTAATATGCTAACAAAAGCTGAACTTATTAACAAGTTAAGCAATGGTATACATGTAATAGTTTCAATTTAAATGAATTAAAATAATTGAAAGTATAGCTTCTAAATGAAGCTTTATAACTTCTATTCAGATGCGTTGGCTTTAACAAATATCACCCATAAATTGCTTTATCAGTTAATTGTTTGTTTACATAGAGTAAAAAAAATATACCTGGTATCTCTGTACCTTGGCCTTCACTGTAGTCTTGCATGAATCATTATCATATTACATGTAATTAGCATCAAGGATTTTGTTCCATTTAAATTTGTCTTTCACACTGCCTGGAAATAGATGGACTTCAAATTCACCACACTTCACAATTGTCCTCTGCATTGCTTTGTTGTTATTGATCATATTTACTCAAAAGTTACAATGAGAAAAAAAAAATTTAATCCAGTATACAAACATTTCGAGATTCCAAATAGAATGTTACAAATGCTTTACACAGTCCAGTCCAATACGAAAATTCGTAATATTACGAAAAAAACGTAAGATTACGAGAAAGCGTAATATTACAAGTTATCGTAATATAAAACTTATATTACAATTTTTCGTAATGTAGTTAAATTACGAATACGCGTAATATAGCAGATTGTAGAGACTATATTACGAGTTTTCGTAATCCAAGGCAAATTCAAGCATTGCAAGAAATTGAGTGGCGGGTAGCAAAGTATGACGTTTACTACGAGATGTCACGGGCGATAACTTGTACGACTCTCACTGAGATTTGAATTCTGTGTATTTCAATAAGAATTGCACGAACAGTTGTATTATGAGACGAGGGTGTGATTTTTAGGGTAGACTTTGCAAGAAAAGTAGGGAGTTCGGGTGATATAGACCAATGCGACATGCTTAAGCAAATATTGAAATTTACTGGAAAATTGGTCTTATCCTTGGGAAAATTCCTATAAAAGAAAAATAAAAGAAACTGTCCACTCATCCATCGCTGGCAGTACTTTCTTCTTGAATTTCCATGCTTTCTGATAGGCGTAACTGACCAAACTCACCGCGTGCTATCAGTAGATGTGGAATCTGATATATTACTGACGTCATACTTTCCTACCCACCACTCAATTTCTTGCAATGCTTGAATTTGTCTTGGATTACGAAAACTCGTAATATAGTCTCTTACAATCTGCTATATTATGCGTATTCGTAATTTAACTACATTACGAAAAATTGTAATATAAGTTTTATATTATGATAACTTGTAATATTACGCTTTTACGTAAACTTACGTTTTTTCGTAATATTACGAATTTTCGTATTGGACTGGACTGTTACAGCTAGCTACATTACAACAGGACATATTCTAACTGTGGTGAGGGCTTGTTCTGAGACACAGTTAGATTATTCTACATGTATCTAGTGGTGTACTTTTGCATACATTTTTTAAGCTCTGCATCATTTATTGCAATTAATGTTCTGTCTCAATTTTCTGCTGTAGGAAAAGATTGGCAATGGGTTTTTGTTTTAATTAAAAAAAAAACTACACAACAGCATCAAGCAATGAATGATATTTTTAAAAGATAAAAAAATGTATTACTATAATTGTTTTGTAATATTGATGTTCTCTAATCAGTACAGGTACTTCATAATGCTTTCAGTTCACGAAATAGGGCTGCCATGTAGAACAATGCAATCATCATTTCTTTGTTAATACATGTATAACATTCCTATATTTTATGTTATGGCCATAATAAAAATATTCCTAGATTCTCATCCCCGCCCGCCCCGATTTCATACCCCCGCCTCGATTTTTTTTATTTTTGTTTTTCTTCATCTTAATTCTGATCGGGATCGGTATTCATCTACCGTTCTACTTTCGTTTTAAATCCCGCGAAAGTTGACATGATTTTGACAGCTGAAAAAGATGGTAATTGCTGTAATACATACGTATATATTTTAAACAAGGGTCATTGGTTGAAAAAGATTGGTGATGATGTGAAGTAAGAGATAATTGAACCTTTATTATGACTTTTATTCGGGTATTGTAGATAAAATTACACCGATTGACCAGGTCGATAAAAAAATCTGCAAATTGAAAAAATATATAATAAAAGCCGCCCGCCCGCCTCGATTTTAAAAAAAATTCGGATGAGAATCTAGCAATTTATTTATTATCGCCTATGCTTTAAATACAAAGTACTTTTTTAAAAATGCTATTGTTAATGATTCTCCATTATTTTACAAGATTTGACCATTTATTGTCCTTCATATTTTATGTACCTGGTACTATTATATAGACCTTGAAAATTGTTTTAGATAAATATAGTGCTTTGATTGTTATAAGATTGATACCAAATCAGATGTTAATTATTTCCACATGAGTTAGTTTAACATAGATTTTCTATAGCATCCTATTTGTTTTGAACATATTTTATTGTATAATTTATACAATGGGATTGGTAACAAGTTCTTGCAACTTAAAAAAAGCATCCTATGTCAGCTTGTGCCCTGTTATAAGTCACCCCCATGTTATTTTTTTATTAACGAAAAGTCAACTGATGCACTGTTGAAAATGAAAAGATGTTTTATATCATGTTATGATTTTTATGTTATCTACCAAAAAAAAAACAAAAAACTACAATAAACGATTCATTAACTAAATATTGTTAAAAAGATTTGGGAGTGGAAGAATTTGTAGAAAATGATTTATATTGTATTATGAAACATTATAATACATGTATATTTCATGTTCAATGTAGAGGGAAAAATGGAACTATGAATGCGTGGTTCTAACATTTTTAAAAGTATTGGATTTATTTTGTCGTAATTTAAAGAAGTAGGTCAAAGGTCACAATGACAAAAAGTTCATGCTAGTATACTGTAAACCAACTTTTATTCGCGTCGACTTTATTTCGCGATTTACCGAGAGTGAACTAATTCGCGACGAAAAATTTTCGCGATCAAATTAAGCTGTTTTTAATAGACAGACTTACAGTATATAGGAAGAAATATTCGCGATGACGTGTGTTTCGAAAAAATTTCTTTTCGCGAATAAAAGTTGGTTTACAGTATTGCTGAACTCAAGTTGCTTTGTTTTTTTCAAGAATTACTGCAGAACAATGCAAATAGTGTACATTTCTACATGTTTTGCTGGAGAATATTTTGAATATCTACTGTTAGAATTAATTTTCCTAATTTTTAGCAGTTTTAACTGTTTTTATCTCATTGGATTTGCATCAACACTGGCTTTCTCAAACATTGCAGAGGGTATTCATCGTGTTTATAAATATTGCTGATTTAAATCTATATATTCATTGTGTTCAATTAAAAAAAGAAAATATTGTTTGGGTCAGCATCCATTTTTTTTCAAATTGATGGTTTCAGGTAGTGGACACTATTTTTGTTAGTGATTGATAATATATTGATAAAACCTATTGAAAAATTCTGATAAAAAATTATGTTTGTTTTGACAGTTTATATATGCAATAAATATGCTATAATGTGTATTTTAATCTTTTCTTTGAAAGAGGGTTTGAACAATTAGTTGATTGTGGAATATATAGCTATATATTTTGTAAATTTTTCACTTCAATTTGCTTTATGGTAAAAATCTTCTTGAAATCTACACTAAATATTTAATGCAGAATGAAAATTCACTCTGTGTATTGAAATTTAGTTTTATTTTTGTGCTTATATATCCATATATGGTGTATCCAGTGACCTTGTGAAAAAATAAAAATTTTACAAGTGCTATCTTATAGAATTTTTCTGATATTTGTTACATACATTTACTTGCCTGTTAGATTAAAATTTTCACCAATATTTTTGTTAATTGATTATATATTGTGAGTCTTTATTTAAATTGATTTTCAATTGTGTCTATGAATTTTATTGATGCAATAAATATGGTATAATGTGTATTTTAGTTATTATTTGAAATCTTTGAAAAATAGATTGATTTAATATATAGTGTAATATTTTACAGGAAAGTCCTATCTTTATATAAAGTAACAAAACAAATAAAAAGATCTTTTAAATCTTAAATTTGTATGAACTTACAAAAAATACGCCATATATTTAGACTATAAAAAATTTCATATATTTGCAGCATTAATGGAACATGGGACCAGAAATTGACATTAAAGCAACTTATGTGTCCCTGTAAATGCAGTTCATGTTCAACTCCAGATGCATACATTTTAGCTTGAGAAATGTCCACCAAACATTTACAACTACTCTTAAGTCGACATCAAAAAGCTTCTTGAGCTTCTGATTGACAATAGTTATGTTGCTTTGTAGACCAGGTCTTCCAACAATCTATTGGAATCCTCGTGGGTACCAATTGCGCCCCGTTATAAGCAGGCCTATTTTTGTATTCAAATGAAGCAGAATTTGTGCAAATCATATGCGTGAAAAGAAGAAAACACTTGCTGTGGCCTTAAAATCGACATTTAGATATATTTAAGATGTACATGTATTGCCAATTTTAACAATTGTAATTTCCAATCTTATGTCGATCCCGCCGAAATATGGCCGAAAAATGGCCGACTCGGCGTTCAACAATATACAATCAATCAATATGTCGATACGATATATATATCCTGGTGAACTTGAGATATAAGATACAACAGTCTGACACATCTGTTTCATATTTGGATAATTACTTGAAAAAGACAATAAATGTAATCTTACAAACAAGCTTTATGAAAAACATGATCACTTTAACTTTTCTATCATCAAATTCCACTACTTATGCAGCAATATACCTTCATCATCTGCATACGGAGTTCATGTATCTCAGTTGATTTGTTATGCAAAAGCATGCTCTATGTATGAACTATTTCTTAAACGAGGTAAAATATTGACAAACAAGTTGATGAAACAAGAACATTAGCAGTCTCCTTTAAAGTTATCATTTTGTAAGTTCTATGGTCGAAACAATGACCTTGTCAGTAAATACAATTGATCATTGACTGACATTTTTCATACTTATTGTTAGTCCATTACTGATACACTGAATTGACGACAGATTTTTTTGTTATTTCCCGATCATGACAAAGAGGACACGGTGGGTGTGACCGGTTGGCAAGGAAAGCTCACTCCTCCATGGTACCTGATCCCACCTCTGATGTTTTGGAGATCCGTGTTTGCTCTGCTCCTATTTTATATTGTGTTAT